TGCTGACAGCATACTCTGGCTGGAAGTGCACTTACAGCATGCTGGCCTGGGATCAGAAGTTTAACCTTACTGAGGGCAGGGTGGAGGGGCACTGCTGTTCTAAGTGTGTGGGGGCTGTTAAACATAGGTGCCTGCAGCAGCTCCTGACATAACAGCTGGGGCCAGGGCCAGCCAATGGGTGGGGGCCACTGATGAGAGGACAGGTGTCCTATGAGCCAAGTCTGCACTGGGCCTGGGGGTCCATGGGTCATGCCCTGGCTGGAGCACCAGTGGACCAGGGCCTTGCAGAATGTGTGAGAATGAATGCCACTGTGCACCCCAGGGGCAGGCCAGGGTACCCCAAAATGCATGCTTTCCCTCTAGCCCCTGAGTACCTGGGAACCTACTGCTGAGCTGGCCAGCCCCCACCCCACCCTGCCCTACCTCCAGTCACAACAGCATGGCTGCTGGGTGCCAGGCAGAAGCTGGCAGGGGAAGGGCCACCACTGCCAGGGCTGGAAGGCAGCTGAGCATGCAGGGAGGGGGAGGGGGGCTGAGTCATTGTCCCACTTGGGGCTCGCCAAGTTGCATGCCCTCCGACCTTGGGCAGGTAGGCACGCATAGGTAGCCTCACAGGCAGTTATGGTGGGCAGACAGGGCTTGGGGATCTGTAATGCAGGCTCCACGTGGCAGGTCAGGCTATTGACTGAGGATCCTAAGCTAGGCTAAGTGGAGGGCCCAGGGCACAAGCAGCCTCATTTGGCCTTTCTCTTAGGAGGCAGGCAGGCAGGTGAGGCCTCTGTGCCTTGGGCCCCATGTCCTATTTAGGAAGTCCTGTTCTCTGCTGCCCAAGATGCAGATAAGCCACCTTCTCACCCAGGAGATCCCAGCTTAGCCTCAGTGACCTTGGCCACCCCACTCTCCTGCCTCCAGGGCCAGCTGTACTGAGGAGGAATGCCCAGCAGAGGTGTGGCATGGTCAGGTAGGGCCGTGCAGAACAGAATGTGATGGTGTGGGCCAGGGGCCACATGCTAGCATTAGTATGGGCACAGGGTGAGAGACCCCAGGTGCCCATGGAGCACAGTAGCCCATGCCCTCGGTGCCTCAGTATGAAGAGGGCAGAGAAACAGGCCATCCTGACTGCGTGGGCTTCGCCCAGGACTGGGGGTTCTCAGAAGGGTTGGCCCTGCTTCTCTGGGGCTATTTCTGCCATAGAACAACTGGCTGTAAGAGTTGGTCTCCTGGTAGGGGTCTGACTCCCAGGCCTCCCAGTGAATAAGCATGGAGACCGAGCCCTGTCTGGGTGCTCAGCTCCGCACAGCCTGTCACTGCCGCCATCCTTCTACACCCTATTGCCTGTTCCACCTCCACATGCACCTCTGCTCACGCAGCACTGCACACAGCTGCATACGTACAGACATACAGATAGATGTCCAGACACCTATACAGATATGTGCATATGGAACTACATATGTGTATACATAAAGCTGTATGCAGGCACGCATACACACCAGTGAGCACACTCGTGTGACACAGACTTCTGTATGCATGTGCACAGCACATACATGCACCTGCATACGTGCACCTGCTCCCACATGTACACATTGAGACTTATAGAGACCTGTGTGCACACTTGCACACAGTCCTATAAACACACACAGAATATATACCGCACTTGTACACCTGCCACCACACATAGACACACCCCTGCTACCACACAGACACACCCCATGTGTGGCTTAAAATCCCGCAGTGGCTTCTTGTTTGCCTGCAAGGAAAACCCAAGCCAGTGGCTCCAAACAGCCTCCTGATCAGCACTGTTGCATCCTCTCATCTTGGTTTTTTATTATGGTAAAAAAAAAAAAAAAAAAAACACAACATACAACAGAACCACTCAGCACTTTCTACATGTGTCTTTCAGTAACATTGATTATGCCTTCGTGCTGTATGGCCTTCTCACTATCAGTTCCACACTATCCTACCATCCTTCAGAGACACTTTATTCCCTCTACCCTCCCCAGCTCTGCATTGGCCTCACTCACAGTGTTTGTCCTTTGACTTTCTTCTCCACATGGCCCCTCCACATTGCCGCATGTTCTAGGACTTCATTCCTGCCCCTCCTATCACCTTGTGCCTTACCCCTCCCAACCCCTGTGTCCAGCCACTCACACCCTCCAGCCCCGCTGCCCCGCCAGGCCTGTACATGTGCATCGCCTCTTTCCCTGCTGTTTCTCTGTTTTATATTGTTTCCAGCTAGGCACAGCAGCCCTGTGTGTGTGTATAGGGGTGGGGGGTGCTAGTGTCCAGCCCAGGGCCCCATGAGCAGTTACATAGCCATCTGACAGCTGACCCTGGGACTAGGATGTCCTTGGAAGGTCTTATTGTTATGTTAAGTGCCATCAAGTCAGTTCCAACTCATAACAACCCCTGAAGTCCAGTGCATTAACCTGCAGACTACACCAGGACAGCTTGGAAGGTCTGGGATCAAAGAAAAACAACTGTGACTTCACATGGAGGGTTGACCCAGGTCTCCCTGACCCAGCATGCTGCCTGCTGGGCCACTGTCCCAGGCTGCCGGCAGAAAAAAGCATCCTAGGCTGGGGACTCCACACCCGAGGGGCTACTGGACAAGGGGAAACAAAAATAGGAGAATGGAGCCCTCTGCTGACCAGTGCATGCGTATGGGACGTGGGTGTGTGCTGGGGCATGAGGCATGTATGTGGGTATGTGCTGGGGTATGGGTACTATGTGTGCTAGTATGAGGCATGTGGGTATGTGCTGGGGTGTGGGTACCATGTGTGCTTGGGCATGAGGCATGTGGGTGTGTGCTGGGGCATAGGTGCTGTGTATGCTGGGTATGAGGAATGTGGGTGTGTGCTAGGTGTGAGTACCATGTGTGCTGGGACATGAGGCATGTGGGTATATGCTGGGTGTGAAAACTACATGGGTGTGAGCTGGGGCAGAGGCATCCCATGGGTGTGAGCTGGCGTGCTCATACCATGTGGGTATGTGCTAGGACATAGGTATCTGTGTGTTAGGGCATGAGGCACATGGGTTTATGTTGGGGTATGGGTACCACATGGGTGTCAGTGGGGCACAGGCAACATGTGGGTGTGTGCTGGGGTACCACGTGGGTGTGTTTGGAGCATGGACACCAGGTCAGTGTGAGCTGGTACCTGTGAGCTGGCACAGGTACCACATGGTTGTGAACTGGGGCATGGGTATCGTGTGCTAGGTCATGAGGCACGTGGGTTTGTGTTGGGGTGGGGGCACCACGTGGGTGTGAGCTGGGGCATGGGCATCATGTGTGTTTTGGCATGACTTATGTGGGGGTGTGGCGGTGCTTCTCCAGTTCCAGTCACACTTGGGACATCTCAGGGCTGATATCTCAGACACTGGTACCAGTACTGAGCAGCCATGAGGTCTCTGCTACCCTGGGCAGGGCATTCTCAGTGCTGAATACCAGACCTTACACAGTATTTCAGAGCAGCCTCCGGGAAGGCTGGACAGAAGGGCAGGTGCCTGAGCAAGTGAGAAGTGTGGAACCAGGGTGGCGACTTGGGGGCAGAACCTAGTAGAATCGGGGAGAGGGACTGCTTCGGTCCATGAGGGATGTGGCACAGGGGCAGCAAAAGACAGGGCCACGTAGTTGGCAAGGGTCAGGGCAGCATCTTGGATCACAGCTGGTAGCGGCCAGGGAGGTAGGCTAACATGAGACACTGGCTGCACTTCCAGGGTATCTAAGGAGCCCTGGGCTGTCACAGGATTGGAAGGTGGCCATTGGACTCAGGAGATGGCCTTTGTCTCTGGAGCACTCACTCATCCAGATCCAGGCTGATGGGGGACTGCAGAGGCAGTGGGCCCTGGGAAGGAAGGCGGGAGGCATACTGGCCCAGCCAACCAATGTTGTGACCTCCCCAAGCATGGCCACTTCCAGGTGTGAGCATAGCTGCTCATTGTTGGCAAACTGGGCACCAAAGCCAGCTTGGCCCTACAGACTCAGTGAGTCCCTGCTGCTCATGGGAATGATTCTTTCCCACCTAGCCAACCCGCTGTCCAAACAGCCTTCACCAGGGCACTGTGGACAGGCTCTGCTCCTTCCCACAAGTCACTCCCCACCCCCTGGGCCTGGGCTTTCCTGTGAAAAAGTGTGACCACCCAGCACCCCCTAGGGGGCAGGTAATTGGTTGCCCCACATGAAGCTGTATGCTGAACCCCAGAAGTCTCCCCCTGGGTGCTCGACATGAGACCCACAGTGTGGGAGGCACATCTGGGGGTCTGAGAGGGTGTTATAGTCAATCCTAACAGCAGCCAGGCATGGAAACCAACATGCAGGGAAACAGGGTGCCCCTGGCTCACACCCCCCTCTCTGGGTGCTCAGCATGGGATGCAAGGCTGCATGGACCTCCACAGGGTGTTGGTCTTCCACGTGGTCAGTGCTGGCCGGGGCCACAGTCCCCTGCCCCCTGTCCACCTGGCTTCTTTGTAACCTGGCTCAGCCAAGGGTCTGGGTGAACGGGAGGCCACAGCACTCCTAGAGCGCCCCATCTCACTTCTCTCTCTCCACCTTTGCCAGGTGGTGGCCCGGATATGTGGCCTCGAACCAGAACAGCCTGAGGCGGCCAGCCCTCCATCTTTGCCCAACAGCAGCCCACAGCACCCAGCAGATAGACAGAGGCACTCCGACGGCTAAGGCCTCAGCAACAGATCTGGGCAGACGGTTTCCCACCTGCATCCCAGAGCTTGGGGCATGACCGTGGCCACCACACAGTGGACGGGGCAGGAAGTGTGTTCCTAGAAGGTGCGCCATGCCCACCAGAGCCCAGGTGCAGGGCCAGGGGCCGCAGCGTGGTCTGGCTGGACACCCCCGCAGTCACTGAGCGAAGCACGGTTCCACGTCACGGCCTGCTGGGCACACTCACCAGCCCCTCATCTCTGCACCATTCGCACGCTCTTCCTGCTGGTGAGTCCAGCAAAGCGAGCGCCAGGAAGGCGCTGCCCAAGCTCTGCGGCCAGCCCGCCGCTGTCGGACCATGGGATGTCGGCAAAGCTCCGAGGAGAAGGAGGCAGCCCGGCGGTCCCGACGAATCGACCGCCACCTGCGCTCAGAGAGCCAGCGGCAGCGACGCGAGATCAAGCTGCTGCTGCTGGGCACCAGCAACTCGGGCAAGAGTACCATTGTCAAGCAGATGAAGATCATCCACAGCGGTGGCTTCAACCTGGAGGCCTGCAAGGAGTACAAGCCACTCATTGTCTACAACGCCATCGACTCGCTGACTCGCATCATCCGCGCCCTGGCCGCCTTGCGCATCGATTTCCACAACCCCGACCGTGCCTACGATGCGGTGCAGCTTTTCGCGCTGACGGGCCCGGCCGAGAGCAAAGGCGAGATCACGCCCGAGCTACTGGGTGTCATGAGGCGGCTGTGGGCCGACCCAGGCGCGCAGGCCTGCTTTGGCCGCTCCAGCGAGTACCACCTGGAGGACAATGCAGCCTACTACCTGAACGACCTGGAGCGTATTGCTGCGCCCGACTACATCCCTACTGTCGAGGACATCCTGCGCTCCCGGGACATGACAACAGGCATCGTGGAGAACAAGTTCACCTTCAAGGAGCTCACCTTCAAGATGGTGGATGTAGGTGGGCAGCGCTCAGAGCGCAAGAAGTGGATCCACTGCTTCGAGGGCGTCACGGCCATCATCTTCTGTGTGGAGCTCAGCGGCTACGACCTGAAGCTCTACGAAGACAACCAGACGGTAAGTGGCCCTGCAGCGTCTTGCCTGGGCCTGACCTCCACTGCGTTCTGTTGTCCGCTCATGGGAGGCAGGTAGAGCAAGTCTGTCCTTCCAGCCCTCATACAGATGCCTCCTTCCTGTGAGTGAGCATGGAGCACTCCTGTGGCAGGCTGCCCTCTCCTAGAGGGAGGAGGGAGGTCTTGGCAGGCTGTTCCCTTGCCCACAAAAAGCCAGCTTCTCAAGGTCTGGTGGATGGCATCAGTGGCTCTACCATGGGAGAAGGCTCTTCAAGCCTACACAGCTGTTTTGCATCTGGTCTACAGCCTGGTCTTGCTCCTAAGTGTCTGGGAAGACAAGCAGGAAGCCCAGGTCCAGCACTGAGCTACAGGGATTGGAGGGGGTGGCAGGAGACCAGAGTAGCCGATGATATGGCAAGGTTGGGGTGCCAAAGCCAGGCTTCCCCTTTGGTAGAGTCTGGAGCCAAGCAGGGGAGACCCAGAGTAGGCCAGGAAGAGGCCTTTGATGGGCGGACTGTAAATGGTCCATTGTAGAGCTATAATGGTGTGTGATGCTGGGGTGTTTGGGGTACAGGGAATGGTGATGTTCACAGGACCTCCACCATGCAGGGACATGAGGGGTTGGCTGGGGACAACCAGCCAACTTTGAAGGCCGGAGTTCAGAGGGCCAGGCCAGTCCTTCTGGGCACAGAGGATGATCTTGCTCTGTGGGTCAACTGGGGCCTTGTTCTGGGTGATTTCCTCAGATCCAGGCAGGTGGGAGGTGGTTTACACAGGTGTGGACACTTCCCACCCCAGCAGGTGTGTTAGGTGCAGTAAGGGTGACCTCATGGGAAGGGAGCTGGGCGAGGGTGCTTTGGAGTCTGTCCTGGTTCTTCTCTGCCCCCCTTACACACAAACTGCCTCTGGGATATGGTGGACACTGAAGGTGGTGGACAGAACCAGGCCCACTGGCGAGGTACAGCTGTAGGCAGAGGGACTGTGGCTGACTCTTGGAGGGCATGGGCCCCTTGCTGACAGTGGCCAAACCTATGGTCTTAGGGCCAGACTCTGTCCCTCCACGTACACATAAGTACATCTTACAGACACTCTTATCCTTCATTTGCAAGCTGGGCATGGCAGCTTGTTGGTGGCATTTTTCCTGAGTCTGCCTACAGGTATTGGCTCAAGTGGGCCAGTGTTCCCTGGGGACATTGACTCTGTCCTCTATTTTTCAAGCCTGTTGGGGTGGAGGAGCCAGGAGCCGCAGAGATTGTTGATTTCACCTCCAGTCAAGATGCTGGTAGCTCAGCTCCCATGGGTGCCTTTGGGCACCTAACCCAGCCCAGGCACCTGTATACCCTCAATGACATCCTTCCTTAAGGGTGAGACCCACCCCATGCCCACCCCTCCTGGACAGACCAGCTGGACAGACACTCATCCCCACCCTCCTGTCAGTCTGGTTCCCCACCTGGGCTCACCAGGATCCAGTGGTCCCTCCACCCCCAGCACCTCACTTTCTGCAGGCCTGGGGAGATGGTCTTTCACCAGAAAAGGAAATTCTCCCCGAGAAACTCCAGTGAGGCTAGATTCCAGATGGTTTTGACCTTTCATGCTTTCCCAGTAATGTCTCACCGAGTGAAAATCAGACAGGCTCCAGAGGAGACAGTCCTCCCCCATGACGCCTGCAGCCCGCCAGCCCCTCCCCCAGCCGGAAGGGCCTGCCCGCTGGCATGGGGCTGGAGAGGGAGTATGGGGGTGGGGAGGCTCCCCCAGGCTGACTGTGCAGATGCCCGTGAGCTCCTGCCGCTTGGCCCATCTCCCCCCAGCCCCACGCTGCCATCTGCGTCAGTGCGTTGCTAAGGAGAGCACCAGGATCCGGGCCTGCGGGCTTGGAGGGCGCCAAGGGGGATACCTGGGGGGAGGGGCAGGCACCAGGGCCCTGAGCTACTAACAGAGGCAGACACAGCTGGTTCTCAGCCCCAAGTCCAGCTAGACCTGACCCCCACAGTCCCACTGTAGTCTCCCCTGTAGCACCCGAGGCTGAGCATGCCCAATGATGCCACAGGGTCCCTCTCTGAGTTGTAGGTGCTTGTCAGAGTTACCTGACATGGGACACCCCTGGCCACACTGTCAGAGCTGGTCTAGGTCGAGCCCCAGGGGGGACTGTGGGAAAGGAAGAACCATTGGAAATGCATGCCCAGGTCCTAACCCCTGCTTGAACCCTCGCTGGGGACTTGGGGTGGCATGGCGTCCAGGTACGTCAGCTTACAGACACTGCTTAAGATGGAGAGTAGTGGCCAGGACGGATGAAAGGCCTGTCCCAGAGCATCAGTGTTCACTCACACGCAAAACAAAGGGTACCACCAGCTCTTCCTGGAGCTGAGGGGTTCTGGCCTGCTGGGCCCAGGCACCAACATGGGGGATGATCCTTTCAACAAACCCTCTGTGTCAGGCACCAGGGCCTTTTGGCCTGGGAGCCCTGTCCCTCCACAGGAAGCTGGTGGTAACAGTCCCCAGGGCTGTCCAGCCTCTGCTTTCAACCAGGACCAGCTGTGGCTGCTTGCGGAGGGTGCCCCACAGGAGGTCTGGGTTCTACTAGGTGGCCTGCCTCTGATCCAAGAGCTGGCTGGTCAAAACGTGTTAGAAATTACACAGGGATGTGCCCACAAGACAGGTTCTGCAGCCAACTGCTGATCCTGCCCTGCCATGGCCCCTGGGCCAGCCCCCTGACCCACAGCTTATATTGCAGGTGCTCTATGTGAGGAACCAGGCATGAAATAGGGGCTACACAGATGTTTGTAGGATGAGTGGGACGTGGCAGGCTTGGGGAGAACTCAGTTTTGGAGCCTTGGCTTCCAGATGTGGAGTTGAAGGGTCCTGACAGTGTTACAGTTTCTTGGAGTGGGATCTTTATCCCTCTACTCCCTGAGGTACACAGTCCACAGACCACTGTCAAGTGCAGCTTCCTCTGTCCCTCCTGAGGTCATTCCTGTTTCTCCTGGCCCTGTGCTGTTGTAGTTGCTGCCAGGTGCCATCAAGTCAGCTCTGACTCACAGCATCCTCCTGTACAACAGAATGCAGCTTTGCCTGGCCTTGTGCCATCCTCCCATCACGGGTACATTTGAGTCCATTGTTGCTGCCGGACTACCGGCTCAGGAAGGTTTCACTTGTTTTCCATGACCCTCTGCTTTGCCAAAAACCTCGCCCTCTTCCAGTCAATGAACTTTCTTGACGATGTGTCTAAACCTAAGTGACACAGTCTTATCATCCTTGCGTCTAAGGAACATTGTGGTTATATTTCTTCTAAGACTAATTGGTTTATTCTTTGCCAGCACCGTAGCTCAAACATACCAGTTCTTCTGTCTTCCTCTTTCACCATCCATTTTTCACATGCATATGATGGTCCTTGTCCTTGTAGGCCAAATGGTGACTGCATGGTTATATTTCGTGTTTTTAGGAGTTTGATGAGGGTGTGTGACAATGTGTTGGTAGCTGAAGTTAGCCATGGTGGGAGTGATTACACCACAGGAATGGGCAGACTCTATGAATCAGTCCCTCTGCCCCTGTCCAGCCAGTTGTTGCATGTTGGCCAGCATACCTCAGTGAGTCCTGAGCCCTGGGCCAGGGGCCTGTGGGACTAGGCTCACCGAGTGATGAGCAGCCACACCTCCTGTCTCTTGACTTCTTGGGTTCCTCAGCATCTCCATTGCCACCCTGCACTTGCAGTTCTTCTCTCCATGTCTGTGCCAGTGAAGGTGCCCTTTCCAAGAGAGTTCCACACTTGTCCAAACCCTTCAGAAGTCTTGTGCACAGAGAAGCATTGGGATGCTGGCTCTGCCTTCCCTGACAACTGTGGTAGCAGTCTCTTCCTCGTCTGATGAAGCTGCCCTGGGATGTTCACACAGGAAGTGCTCATGGTACACCTGCTGGATGCGACCTGACTCTAAGGACACGTGGCCATATGCCTTCCTCCAGGGTGGCCAGAGGAACCTATGGGCTTCCCAAACCATGCCCGCTCCTACCCTACTGGGCCCAGGATCTGGAGGACCTTCCCTCTGCCCCAGATAACACTGTGTAGGGGAGCTGGGGCCTTGTTGGGAACCTGTGGGACCCATCTGGGATGTGGGAGCCATGTGGGCCATGGGGCTGTGGGGTACTGTGTGTGCCAAATGGGCTGCAAGGCCAAAGGGAGCACATGGAACTCAGGGTTCTGTAGAATGAGGGACTGTGGGGCATGTGGGCCTTGGAGCACTATGGTATCTGAGATTGTGGGCGACATGGGGACCACGTGTGGGATTTGGGTATGTGAGAGCACCATGGGGCACATGGGGACCACGTGGGATGTGGGGCTTCATAGACCTTGGGGCCGCATGGGGCATGGAGCTATGTGGGATGTGGGGACCATGTGGGACGTGGGAACCATGTGGGACAAGGAGGTGCATGTGAAGCCCCAGGACTGAGTGCTGGTGGGCACATGAAGAGCACATATTGGTGGGGGGACACCTGCAGAGGGGTGGACAACAGGACTAGTAGGGACAGAAGCTGGGGCTCAGGACTGTAAGCTCCTGTGTGCTGTATGGGTAGGGTTTCCAGCTGAGCAGTAGCCACCCCACTCCCTTGCTGGCCCCAGCTAGGGACCGAATTCATTTCCTGAGCACATTAGCTCTGCTACCCGGGCTCACGTCACAACAGCGGGATTGTGAGACACAGATTCATATTGTTTTAGGGGATTTGTGTCATCTGAGAACTGACAGCAATTTCCCAGTTACAGAGAGCAGGCTCTGGGTGGGGCTAAGGGCCCTGGAGTCACTCTGGCATGGGGATGGTCTGGACAACACCCAGAACACACTGAAGACAGATGGGGGTGAAGCAGCCCACAAGGCCCTGAGACCTGCCTTGCAAGGCAGGAACACTTCTGTGAGGACAAGACGCTACCCCTCCTCACTCCTCAGTGGTGTTCTAAGGCCCTGGCTCTTACAGCTAGAGTTTATGGGGGGATTGGAAGGGCTGTCAGCCAGAGGG